TATTCTCAACTGAATATTCTGTGGTGTATATTCATGAAATATTCCATGAATATTCGAACAATGCTCTCACAAGAACTTGATATGTATAACATTATTCAATTCGATTACTGGCCTAGTGGTCAAGGCGTTGCTCTGATAGTCTTGAGGTCACGAGTTCGATCCCTACTTGAGTCACTTTTTTTATTTTAGAATATTAGAATTAGAATATTCCAGGAACATTCAACATAGAATATTCTTTTGGGTATATTCTATGATTATCTGAGGAATTCCCATTCGCATATTTAGAGAATATTCCACAGATATTCTGGAATATTCCAGATTATTTCTAGAATATTCCAATATTCCAAAAGGAATATGATAGGGAGATTCATGGAATATCTGGTGCTGTCTGATGGGATATGTGTCTACCCAATTCTGAAAGACACTAACCGGCGAGTTAATGTTTGTCATTGTTGAGTTCACATCATGTTCACCTCAATCTCATATCACTAACCTTTATAGAGGGCTATATATGGTTTAGGTCCATTATATCTTTATTTATCAGTATATCACTATTCTCGAATATCTAGGCTTCTATATGCATGTCATTTCCCAACATTATCAACTGATGGCTTAACTAATTTGATGTTATCAATATAATATGTGACACGATTGTGTTCGGCTACACACGATTTATCTACCATATTTTTAATGTGCTAGGTGTTCTTTGAAACTTGTTTTTATGGGTCTCCTGGTTTGGCATATACGTTTTATCACAAACATTACAACTAATTCCGTATATTCCTGACTTTTCAAGTGTGTCCACCTTATCTTTTGGATAACCTAATCAATTGCCCAATTTTGACCCAGACTGATAAACGCTATCAAAACCTAAGTCTTTGAAAACCTCATCAAGTCCCTTCGTGTAGGTACCTACTTGGGATTGAAAGATATTGGGATTCCATATATCCCTCTGTATAGTTTAGTGATACTTATAAGATCAAGGTGAACAAGTGAACTCAACCATGAGGAACATTATAACTTGGCGATGGACATATATACCTAGTATATAAGTAGCACAATAGAGTATTCAGTTTTTACCTCCACCTGAAGATGATCACATAGTTAGCGAAACACGTGTCGAGGTGTTTAAAACATGGTTAGTGTTAGAACAGTGTAGTCTAATATTTTTCTCTGTTATTATTATTTATACTCAAAGTGATTCGAATGTGTTTCGACCTATAGTTTTAGCCATCTTCAATGTTGTTTTTTTTTCGAAATTCCAGAAAATACCCAAACCATCAGTTTTAGTTATTTCAAATCATTCAGTGTCAAACATTGATGGAGTATTTATTTACCTAATACTGAAAAGTATAAAAAATATTTCACCAAATTATCCTATATGCAATGTGGAATGAACTGCATTTAGAAGTGTTGAATTACTGGAGAATTAGCGTTCATAAATAGGGATGATAAAAATACCACACTCTCAGAAAATTTCAATGAGAGCTGCCCTATATACCATTTATTTGATGTTCTTAAAATGTTCCACCTGAATTCACTTTGTATCATGTAAATGAGCTACAATGATATGTCCATTCTAATATATCTTTATATATGTATACCTATACTCATTATATTGGGAATCACTATGGGAAACTTTCGCCACAAATATTCAGTACATAGTTGATAGAAGGTTGAGAGTATATTCCTATATGGGAAAATCTCTTTCATTGCAGTTCTGCATTCCATTGAAACAATGTCTCACGTTTGAAAATATCCTGGTTTATACAAATGAAATATTTTACTTATTAGCTTTGATTAATAATACAATGAAAAAATTTTCAGTTATTCGAGAATATATTTGAAATTATTAGATACGTATAGACAAATTGTATACAATTTGCGTTGTGATACAAATACCTAATTATGTAATTACTTATTATCAATATGTATAGACACTGATATGCAACAGGTAGGTGATAATGTACAGTGTACACTCAGACAACTATACTGAAACTGATTTCACCAAATACATATTATATAGTACTCAAAATTATAATAATAATCTAGTCTAATTTAGTGATTCTTTTCGAGTAGCGTATATTTATTATTCATAAACATTTCAGATTTTTATTTTTCATATATGATATAAGTACATAATGATTTCAAATATAGGTACTTAATGTAGATACCTACTTTGTTGATATTATATTATAATTATTGATATTATGATGTATGTATTTAACTCGGGAAAACGACCCTCAAAAGTCTATCATCCTGTAGGAATTCGAAAACGCCCGATAGCCCCAAAAATTGCGTTCCCAAGTTTGATCGGTGTACCTATCACACAGAAAAAAATCCAGTTATATCCATGTTCAAAAACATCCTTCACTGACAAATGAAACATTTTAACCACGAACTGTCATCATCTGTTCAACTTGAAAAGTCAACGTTTTCAATGTGAAACAGGTCACCTTTTCAAATCTCTCTTTTTTTTGGAAAGGTTAGCTCATATAGATATGAAATGGAACAAAATTATAGTCAAAATTAAGATAGAATTTGAAAGATAATCATTGAAATCCTAAAAGATTTCATTTCACAGTTACCTATACAAGTATAGGTAAGTATCATTTAAGTTCCATCCCTTCTTCGTTTACCATCTTTATCATATACTCGTTCACCACAATCAGTCATCTCACTCACTTATGAACACTTGATCCATCAAAATTGTTATAGGTTAGTCGTCTACGGATACCTGATATGTAAGGACATATTACCCCGCAGCAGCTCGTGAACCATTCTTACAGGGTGATAATTTTTTTTTCGAAAAAAAGTGAAGTGGTTGAAAGGTCTGCTAGAAATTTTAGGGACATATTTGTTCATATTTTCCCCTCGTTGAGGAACTTAAGGAAGTTGAACTGCATCAGGGCGTTTTAGTGTTTTTATACGATAAATTTGTAATGTAGGTATCGCAAATTCTTCCAATTTGGATAAAATTTTGTATTTTTAAACTACCACACTATTCATGCACTATAGTGGCAAAGCTTGGAGTTATATGCAGTTATATCGGTGATAGATTGTATTGCGTATACTCGTATAGGTACAGTATGTCCAAGATAAGGATGTCTTCGTATCCTTATTTTGGACACGGTGTTTTATATGTATTTATTTGATTCGTAAAATTTTATTTGCTGCTTCAAAATTCACAACTATAGCCAACAATTCATCAGGAGAAATAACGGTTTTTCTTTTTCGTTTCGTGATTTGTGAACCCTTATTTACTGACGCCATTTTTGGCAACTATATGTTAACAAATAAGGTAAGTATGACAAGAACAATTACCTACTCCAAATTGGAAGCATTTCGAAAAATTAGTCACCCTAATACTGAAATGCCAATCATTTGACTATCAAATTGAGAGCAAATTCATGAGTATTACCCATTTTATTTTTATAATACTTATCACTATTTAATATTGAGCGACATTTTATTCTTATATAAGTGCTGTTTCACAGTTATAGGTTTTTTTTTAAATGATGGACATGATTAATTGATTACAGTGGAAAAGGAACTATGCTGGCGTCTATATTCAATTCAGAAATCTTTTGAAGGTTATACAGTTACTTATATATATAGGTAACAGCTTATTATTTCTCTCGCTTATTTCAATTCATTATTCTGGAAATTATAGAAGGAAATTGGTACTTATAGGTATATATATCGGAAACGAAGCTCCCATGCACGCATATTATAATTATGTTCACCTATAAAAAATTTCATCTTGAAAAAATGTATTCTCTTAGCTGTTAGAGTCCTGCTACAAAACACTGACTCACCCTGTATAGATAGATACTAAATTAAAAATATTCTCATATCATATTGAAACGAAACGATAACTAAGTATAGGTATAGGTATACCTATAACTTTTAATTACCTATACATAGTGCATAGATATTATGTTTGGTCCTTGAATAACAATTTAGAAAAAGTTTATCTGAAATCAATTGAAGCATCTCGTGCCGCACCTGCACTCACTTCAATAGGAACTTGAAACCCGTCGACGCCGCGCGGTGATGCAGGAGAAGCTGCAATTGAGTATATGGATAAACAAAAAAAATGAAGATGAACCGAACCTGCCATGCACCTGCCATTTCCCTATATCACAGATCACAAAAGAATCCTTGTCAACAAATCACAAAGAAAAAATAAGCAACCTCAAAAATACCCACACACGCTCCCAGCCAAAAACACAAAACATACTATCCCCAGCACATGCGCTTCAAAATCGCCCCTTAACTCTCATCCGTCACGAAAAAAAACCTCATAATATACGTGAAGGAAGGGGGTAGCGAAATGCGCACATAGATATCTTTCGATTTTCCTAAAAAGAAAATATCAGCCTTTACTTTACAGCGCTTGTATTGGCCGCGGCAGATCTACATGCTGAAAAAGAATCGACATAGGCTGCCGAACGACCGCGAGAGAGAGCCAGCTATGCCGAGGTACCGCAGTCGCCGTCAGAGGGCACCTCATTCCAACACAAGGGGCGGAGCTAGCGGAAAACAGAAGACGGCGCGACAGAGACGGAAGAAGTTTGTTCTGAATGCACCATGCAAGATTGAAGCGAACAGTCAGTCTTGGGGTAGAAATCCCAATGAAAGCACGTGCAACGCAGTAGGCCGACTACGAACAGTAGAGCATTAACCCCGTGTGACAAGTTGTAAACTTCCGATAGTGCTTCCGTTTCCAAACATGAACAGTGATTTGGAAAATCAGGGCTTTCCGTGGAAAACGGTGTGATAAGGACTGTGCGCAACTGGTTTCGCGAAGGATTTGTGGTGTTGACTTGGAAAAACTTGTGCGTTCATGGCCTGCTGATATCAGTGAATATGAAAAGTGTAAACTTTGTTGAACAATGTCGCGTTGTGGTTACTGATGTATGAGAAGTAAATCTCGGAGCTGACTTTCTGCTACCCAGGTGTTTTTTTTTCGCGTGAAACTGGCGGAGCTAGAACATATGCAGCCCACAGCGGCAGCTAATCTGCCACCCCCTGGGGGAGATATGGACTTGCAGACGATTCCGTCAATGGACTGGCTCTTCAAGAAGGAGAGGATCTACCTATTGGCACAATTCTGGCAACAGGTAGGTCATCTACAATCGTCTTCTCTCAAAAATCTATGCTGTCGAATTCTTTACGAAATATAAGTATTGGTCTCGGTATAAGTATAGTATAGTAGTTTAAACCCTCGAGTTTACCTGTGCAAAAAGTGCAAAAAGTTATAAAGAAACATTTATTATTATTAAATATTCAAATGTCAGTAGGAATAACGTGTGTATTTAGATCTATGGTATAACTCTTCAAAAACCCAACAAAATAACAAATAACTTTTAAGCACTATTTTACCGATCCAGTATCCACTCAGAAAATTGTTGGTAGTGAATACCAAACGTTAAGTAAAATTAGCGACCAGCACTGGTTTTTCACAGTTCTGGCATCTAAGACAAAGTAATAAAAAACGTAGGTACCTACCTATACCTATTTTGGTCCTTGTACCATTATAATTACAGGATTAATACCTATGTGTTTTCGACAATTCCTCCTAATTGAAAATATCTGGCAGAGTTGGGAAAAAAATGAGAACCAAAGCATATCTTATTGGATAATTGTTTACGTTCCATCGAGTTATTTGAAGGATGTTCGAATTTTTTTCTAGATACCTACTGATTCATTCACATATCGACTTACTATTGAATATTAGTTTGAGACCATCAAATGGCCTAAATGAAATTTGTTTTGCAATTTATTTATTGATGGTCGAATTTGATTATCTACCTATCGTCAGCTCGCGACCACTGGTCCACTGGTGGTCGAAAACTAGTTTGAATTAATTTTTGGTTCTCGCGACCTCATCAAATCAGTATATTTCTATTATAGAATGATTTCTACATCAAAGTGTTCACCATATTTCACCATAAAGTATCTATCTTCATAATTATTGCATCTGCATCAGAACAAAATAAGAATTACTTTACGTTAATTTTTATTGTTCATAGATCTTTCAGGCAATGACAATGATGGCAATTCTCTGCAATTGAAGACCATTTTTGAATGTTAGTACCTATCTCTTTAGTTTTTCAATTTTCGCAAGTCTGATGCCTAAAATATAAAATGTATTTTGCATTATGATCTCTACATGTCAAATTTTTTTAAATCATCTCATTCCTTGCGAATCAATGATGTCATGAATGAATGGTGCATGGTCTAGAATCAACATGAAAATATAATATGGACACGCGAAAACTCTGCGGGGTGGTCGAGATTCCAGAATTTGAATGCAAAAAAAACATATAATATTCACATATTATACCTACTTCCAAAGTTAATATGGAATTGGTATAGGTATAGGTACCTACCCAAGATTTTGCATGAATTTAACACTTTTAAAGTGGAAATTTCGGATACTGATTCAATCTATAATAGAGTGTTTTTTCAGTTTTTCGAACTTCATATATTATTTTCAATCTTCATATATATATTATGGTTGAGCTCGGCAAACAACACTACCCAAGATTTTGCATGAACCCTACCCAAGATTTTGCATGAATTTAACACTTTTAAAGTGGAAATTTCGGATACTGATTCAATCTATAATAGCGTGTTTTTTCAGTTTTTTGAACTTCATATATTATTTTCAATCTTTATATATATGGTTGAGCTCGGCCGAACATACAAAAGCGCGTGTATTTTGGTTTGGTGTGTCGGAAACTTCATTTCATACGATGACTTGGTGCACGACACTATCGTCTCTGTGGGCGTAACTATTTCATACGAGTACTTGTTGCAAGACACTGCCGTATCTCTGGATATGAAAAAATCGTTCATCTTGAAGATGATAAGTGTGCGAAGTGTCAATTTAATTCGACATTTTGAACTATCTATATAGATACCTATGGGTCAAAATCATGCACCCGTTTACTTAACTATAACTATATTCATATATACGAGTAGATATATTGGTTTTCCTATTTAGTACACGACACTTCCGTGATGGATGTAAAAAGTTGAAATAACTGGGAAAAAAACGAACATTCGAAATTTTGGTGACGGAACATTTAACATTTTGGTGGCGGAATTAAGATCCTGGTGAATTAAACTGATAACTATATATTTACACTGAAAAAAATAGTCGGTATAGTAAATACCAAACGTTTAGTAAAATAGGCGCCAGTCACTACATTCTGCTCAAAATATACCACTAAAAAATAGTATCATACTTATATAGTATATAGTAGGTATATGCGATACAATTTTGTTGTTGTATTATATAGTTGATGAACGTTTGGTATTCACTACCGACTATTTCTCAGAGTGAATCTATATTAATGATGAATGATGATGATATATATTGAAGATCATCCGAATGTTTCTAAAGTCACCTATAAATTCATCAAACTCCATTAGGTTCCTATAATTTCGAATTTATATAAGTACTTCGAGCTCTGTTGAAAAACAAATAAAAGGCAAACATAAAATGAGTCATCAATTCGATCTTTTATTACTAACTTTGTTTGAAATACTATAAAAGTGAGTACAAATTGAAGACGAAATTGGTTTTTAAACTTTTAATGATCCAATATTACGATACGATAACTATTGACGAGTTAAGATTCAATATTATTACCTACTTACATTATAAGTAACCGGCGAGTAAGTAACTAAATAATGACGAAAGCAAGTACGAGGGAGGGAATATATTGTATATAGGTGATCAGTAAAAACCGGTAAAAACGTAAAAACAGTTGATCATGCGATCACCATCACGTTCAAAATTATTGTATTCTTAATGTTGATAGTATAAATATAGGTATATATAGGTAGCTTGGTATAGGTAGGTAACGAAGTAAATTACCTATATATACCTATATAATATATCTTCATTAGGAATCAATTTCATTCAGCCAATGAGAGATTTATGGGAATTATTCATAATACTTGACAAAGTAGGATTGAAGAACCTATTATATCCCATTGCTGTTATGATATAGTTATTATGCTTTCAAAGAACAATTTCCGGGAATCTAGGCATATCGTCGTATACTTGAATGTGGATTTTCAGAAAGTACGTCATAGGAATGGTGGAGGAGCCAAGTTCCTTTTTTATTTATTTTTTTCTGAAGTGAAAATTGATGTAAGTTCAGAATAAACTTTTGCAATCAAAAGAGCCAAAATGACGCGAAATATCTGGGCATAATAGTTGATCCATCTTCGGTGGAATAAACATCTGGTGCAAGTCTGCAAAAAAAACTCTTCGGTCGCTCCTTTATAAGTTCAAACACTTTCAACAAATATAGGTACTGGATTTCAAATATCTCAGAATTCTTTATCAAGCATTAGTGGAAACACGACTCACCTACGGTATTCTAGATTGGGGGGCATCAGCAACGGATGCACACTTGCACAACCTCAAAGTTATTCAAAAAAGATTCTTGAAAATTATATCATCCAAACCAATCAGATACTCATCTGACCTAATATTTAGAGAAACGGAAGTCCTTCTTGATTTACGTCAGCACTATTACTATAAAATTGTGATAAGACAATTTAAAAAAAAACAGATTTATTCTACCACTCATCAGCCATAACTACCAAACTCGTCTGATGAAAACGAATAACTCTCTGAGAATGGTATCATCCAGAACGAGAATAGGACAGAGAAATCATATATTTTTAGCTAGTAGATTTTTTAACTTTCTCCCGACTGAAATCAAAGAAGTCTCCAACGCATATACTCCTTCAAAAAAGGACCAAATATTATCTTCTTTCTTCAGAACGTATGGTTATTCATTCATTGTTCAAATATTAGAATATTTTGATATATTTCTAGACTTATTTTCGACTTATTTATTATTATTATTATTATTGTTCGTTACCTACGTTGTTATATTTATGTCTCAAATTCATATGTATGTCTTATTTAGCCTTGTTCATTAGATTCATTTATCATTTCAGCAAATTTTATACCATAAATTTCTCACATGGATTTCAAAAGTGTATTGTACTAATGGATGTCAATATTTTAGAATAAGTAACTCAACCACGCACAGGCTCTGCCTTATAGTAGATTTTTGTTTGTTCGAAAATATCTCATCAAAATATACTATATACATATAGGTACTATTTTTTGTTCATTATACCAAAATTTATACTAATTTGTATTTTGTGAATATTTTGAATGAACATTATTATTATTATTAGCCTCGTTATTAGCGTACGAAAAAAATACGTATATTTTATGTTAACAACTTGGATGGAAGGTTGGATGGAAGAGCAAGCTCTGCTATGAATTTTCATGCGCAGATATTGAATCCTGCCTCTTGTTAGGTTTTCTGTACTTGTATGTAACCTCTTAATAAAAGCATTTATTATTATTATTATTATTACTTTCCCCATTCTGGAATTTCTGAAAAAATAACTCGCAGCTCCATAACCTGGCAATGCGGTACTCGAAATAACTTGACACAAATTTGAATAAACTAAGGAATGTGTGCTAATTTTAATTTGTTAATCTGTGACTAAAGCGAAGGAAGAGGGTCCTTGGGTCCGAACCGATATCCCTCGCATGCCGAAATACGAAGGAAGCGCTGAAGCCGCAAGATAGAAACGAGGTTGGCGTATCCGCCGTTCACGGTAGGAGGGCGCCACCAAACAGAGAGGGCCGATTCACCCTCTCGACAGACGATATAATACGAAATAGAATACGGACATCAGAACTTTGCGCGGTAGATTGGCAACTTTTATTTTATTGATTCGTTGACTCTGACTATTTACACATCGGGTTATACTCAACTACATTTATTTTCTGACACTCTATACTGGCTATACCTATATCTATATAAATATTTTTTTATCGCTTGGAGCGCACGAAAGGGAATCCCTATAATGTTCAAAGAACATCGTGCGTTCCTAGGGAGGATAGGGACAGGAGGTAGGTATTGGAATTTTTTTGAACTTTTGGGGATTATAATATGTTGTTGGGAATACTTCCACAGGCAATGAATTCCAGAGCCTAGCCGTTCTATGGATGAAGGAGTCTTGATAAAGTGCTGTTCGACATCTCTCGGGGTTGACAACGAAAGGATGTGCTGACTGGGCTTGTCTAGTTCGTCTGATTGGTATTGCTAGTGAAGGGATGATAGCAGAGATTTCCGAAGAACATTTTCCGTGGAAGTATCGATATAAAAGTGAAAGGACGCCGACCTTTCAACGGTGATCCAATGATGTCAAAGAGTGAGTGAGTGTGGCGTCACCCACCAGGCGAATGGCTCTTCTCTGGATGGAATCTAAGAGCATCAGCGTATGTTTTGGTGCTGAACCCCATATGTGGGAACAGTATTCTAGAACAGGCCGTATCTGCGCTTTGTAGATCATGAGAAGCTGTTGAGGTTGTAAAGTATAGCTTTTCGCACGGAACAAGAATCCGAGTTTTTGTGAAGCAGCTCTTGCGATGGATCTGACATGATTATCCCATGAAAGAGTGTTGCTGATGGAAATACCGAGCATAGAATCAGATATGGTGGGCTTGATGATGGGGATGGTGGAGCCAGACATCACAATATCGGGCATACTGAGTTCCGCCTTTCTAGAGAGACTTGTCAATTTCAAATCGCAAATTGGGACCAAACACATCCAAATTGGTAAAGATTTTCGAAATGAGTAAAACACAATCGAAGTCCAGATATAGCACAATAGTATGACCAATGGACGTCCTGCAGAGAAATATATATAAGGTAGGCGCGGGTAATAAGGCCTGTCGGCTAATAAGGCCTAAATGATGAAAATGCAATTTAAAATTGTCGGTGTCGGTCAAGGTCACACTAACAGGTCGCTAACTATCATAGATGACGTCTGAAATCTGTCGCGATGTGTTTGGTCGCTAAGGGCGACCAGTGCGGTGTCATTCGTTAAGAGTAGTGGTCGTGTGGCTCGAATAATAAGAATTCGTCCAAATCAATCGTACGTATTTTTTGAAATATCACACTTATTGATATAATTCTGCGTTATAGTTTTCTATTATGTCATGGTTCTGCGATCTTTGATGTTAGAATAATATATCAAGGTCCGAATAATGTTTTTTCAGATTTCCTTTACACACGTTGTTGGAGGTTATTAAGGCCTACCAATAGAAGAATTAAAAAGACCTCAACCCCCAAAAGTAGAAGTGGTACTGAACAGAACCAGGCGAGTTGGTACTGTCATGTTTGTGAGGAGGAATGGCTGACATGAGACAATGTTCTAAATGCATCAAGTGGTATCACGAGGAGTGCGTCGGTTTGTCAGCGGATGATACAGATAATTTTGAGTGTCCTGAGGGTTGTTAAACAAATGAATTTGTTGTTATTTTCAAGACCTCAGCATGATCAATGCATGATTAGCAATTATCGATCTCACTTACCAAATGTTAGGAGCCTGTTTTTATTTTTTATGCATATTACAGTCATAGGCCTTATTATCCTACTATAGTATAATAAGGCCTACTGACAAGGTTTTTAAAAATGTTCAATCATGTTTTTATTTATGACACACGTTGCCATGTTCTGTTTATTTTTGACAGGACCTGATCTTAAGGTTTATTTAACATTGAAATACGTTGATTTTGTTAAATAGTTTCCATTTTATTTCAAATCCCCCTTAGCTAGGCCTTATTACCCGCACCTACCTTATACGCTTTGGACGAGGCTTTGGATATTCGGCATATACCATCAAAGACGTCCATTTTTAGTATACCTTATACTTCTCGGTGAACGTCTTCAGGACCAAAATATATGACATACGATGTACACTGTAAAACATTCATTCGAGTGACTGCATCATATGTGATTGTGAGTGAATTTACTGATTAAATTGAGTGAATTCTCATTTCAAACTAGATATTTCATGCATTAAGTTTTTCTATCAATGAGAATGTTAACAGTAAATTTGATTAAATCGACTCATGAATTACCATTTTACACAGTCAAGTAGGGTGATATTTCAACGCAATCGGGCGTGGACCGAAATTGACACATTATTGCGTGGACCTTGAGTGAAATTTCAATCGATTTTTTTTTTCAGTGTAAAAAACCATCTGTAAGGTACTTGGAACAGTTGGAACGTCCCGAATTGTGTCCGTTTGTTTTCAAAGTAAATTTTGTTCAACAGCAATCGGAGTAAAAAATTGGTCTTCAAATAGAATGATATCTATATTTTGTTCTATTAAAGAATGAACATTAATATAAGTAGTTTAACAGCTTGTGTTTTTTTTATGACACTGTATATATAGGTAGTTTGTATTCCATGCACTTATTCACACCTATATAAGTATTCAAAAGTTCTGAGAGACTTTTGAATCAAATGTCTTGACTCATGTGTCATGTGTTATGTGATTTCTTGAATATCATATTGGAAATATCTGAAAATATAGATCATATGATGAAAAATAGAAGAAAAATGTATAGGAAAGAACTCCAGCATTATTTATTTTCTATATATATGGTCATTCAATTCATATATAATATTTCAGCTCAGCTGTTTCCCTAATAAGGTAATACCCGAGGTAATACCTATACAAAGACTTCAAAGAATAAATAAAATTTATTCACCTTCATGACTTAGAGGAACGATGCAAAAACACGTTTCCTAAATATTCATTCAATAGGAGATTGTAAGTTAGGACATTTGCACTTTCTGACATCAGGAAATGTTTCAAATAGTTTACTTAGAGTATTGTCATCTTACAGGAATATACAAAACGAAACACCTACACTGAAAAAAATAGTCGGTAGTAAATACTAAACGTTTAATAAAATTACGGCTTCAAATTTTCTCGAAAGTTATCCGATATCTTGCTCTTGTGTTTTTACTGTTGCAATAAATGTTATATATTATCATGCATAAGTTATATCACGATGTTCTGAGTATTGGAGATAATTCTGTCGCTTCATTTGTTCACGAAATTGTGTTGCCGAGCAACAAACAAACAAACACCACGAGTCCGTCAAGACGAGTGGTATTGCTGAACGGCAGGCAATACAATTAGTGAGTTAACAATGAAAGACAGAATTATGAGAAGAGATTCAAAACAGAGTGGTATTTTGCTAGACTATTTACGTTTACGAAGCATAAAAAGTATAAGTGATTCATTCTGACAAGTACAGCGATAACTGACAGCATTTGCTTTGCTATCCATGGTTACATCGTTGAAAACCTGAACGCTGAAACACCAATGAGAATTGAAAGACAGTTCATATATTTTCGAAATAAGCATCTCACGTCTCTGATGGCTTGTTATTGGTCAGGTATAATATGATGAGTGAAATAGTCAAGTAAATTTTAAAGCGTTTCGGGTACATCAGATAAAAAATAATGCAAAACACTAATCAAGTGGTCTGGCAATTCTCCATAAACAATTTTTATGTACTTTTATGCATATGGCTTCCGAATCAGGTATAAACCTACAGGTAATTATCGTACGATACGGTAATCGTAAAATTGCGTATGGATATTGGTACCGACAAAAAAACGTCAGGTATATTTATGTGCAGTATATAGATTCATGAAGTTGGAGGCTGACAACACACATAAAACATCAGCCATGAATTACCGGAATTTCAATATCAAGAGACATCAAAAAGCTTATCCAGAACATATAAATGCATACCTGCTCGAACATAAAATTCGATAGGTATATATCCGAAAAAATATCTCTCTCAAAGTTCGATAAAATATTGCGAGAGCCCTTAAAATTCGCTGCAAAAAACGTGAAAGGGTGAAATTACTAGCTAATACCTACATATCTCCAGATGCCTAATTTTTTGCTGGGGTCTGCACAAAGCTTCGGATAACCAGAACAACTCAATGGCGTAGTATCAGATATTCGCATGCAACGAAAGCTTATCCACATCAACGTCTTCAAAAATCTCGTCTAAAATTGATGACTCAATAAGTAAAGAATGATTCGATTCGAACGATATTAAGCTCAACATGTATACAGTGAAAGTTCTCTGGAACACATTGCCAAGGGAGGTGTTCCTCGAGGCATATTACCTCCAGAAATTTAAGAAGAACACCAATTCTTACCTTATTTCCCTTGGTTCTCACGATGTTTTCTAAACATTGTAGGATATCTCTATTCGTGGGAACCAGAACATAAAAAAAAATACAGAAAAGTGTCGAAAAGGATCCACCTTGAGGAAAATCATAATAAATGTTGTTCTTGGTTTAGAATAAATATTTTTCCAATTGTGCTATTTTCTTCAAGGTGGCTCCTCTAGATCCCAAGAAAGAGTTCAAGATTACACGAGAACACGTTGTTATAATATATAGTCGGAAAGATCCTATATATATGTGTATGTATGACATTTCATAATTGTGAATATCATTCGCCATTTTGTTTTGGAGTGATACACAGAAAGAAAATACTACTTTAAATCATAGAAATCATCCATTTTTCTCAAAGTGGTCCAATAGATTTTAAAGAAAAAACAAAGAATATCCCAAGCTTTAATCGACAGACTTTGGGATTTTCTTTGTTTTTTCTTTAATACTAGGTTAATTTAAAAAAAATCTCCTTTCATATTACAGAGATTTCTTTCGCTATAGCGCCAATAAAAATGTCTGTTAATTCTATGATTCATTTCTTTCAAAATCCC